AACTTGATCCACATCAATCTTTTAATGAATTAATTAAAAAAATAGATAAATTATGTTCAAATATAAAAGAAAATGCTTTTTATCCATATCAACAATTAATTGCATATGCAAGAAAATTTTCTTCATTACAATATCCATTTAATCAAGTATCACTTCGTCTTTATATTGAAGATGATCAATGGAATCTTGATCCAAATAATAATCTTATTTTAAAACAAATTTATTTAACAAATCATCAATTATTTCCACGACATGATAAATTAACACCTATTGATTTAACATTAAATATAATAGGAAATTTAGAAAAACAAACATTATCTTTTTATTTTGATTATTCAAATAAATTATTTGAACAAGAAACAATTCAAACATTAGCATTAAGATATCAAAAATTACTTAAACATTTATTTGATGTTTCATCAAACTTTGATTTAGATGATGAACCTATTTATAAATTATCAATTATTTTATCAGATGAAGAACGACTGATGCATAATATCAACTTAAATAAAGATTAACTTTTTTTCAACTATAACACTATTTTACATTTTTTTCTTTTTACAATCGACTCTTATACAAATAAATATAGATTAAACATACATTCTTAACATACCTATCAGCACAGCAATTCGTTGATCATCATTCCATCACGAATAATGATAATTTAGGATTTTTTTTCGACCATTGCTTCTAGTAAATTGTTTCACAAAAAAATTTAACTTTTCAAATTGAAGAACTCGTCGATAAATGTCAATTTCAATTGTGAAACCACGATTTAAATCAAACGAGAGTCATATTTAATGATAAAAAAAAAACGAATAGTATCAATTAATACTATTTATTGGTCACCAAAAAAAAAACTTTCAAATATTCAAAATAAAACAATATTGATCATTCAACTTTAATAAAGAAAATCGATGTGTCTGTTATCTCGACTGAAGGAAAAAATCATTTCAAATAAAATTAATTTACATGCTTTATGGTACGTATCAAATCACATCTACACATACGTATTGGTCATGGTTTAGAGCACCTTTTTCAAATCAGGTTTTTCCAAGAGGGAACAAGTTGATTCTATGATTCAATTTATTCGATCGAGTGGTTCCAATGATTCTGATCACCGAAATTGAGGAGAGAAGTTATCGTGACGTTATCAAACAATAACTGCCAACGGGAAAATCTTGGATTTGATTCTTTTGTTAGAAAATGGATGCAGAGAGAAAATTACGAGTTTTCTCTCGACTCAACGAAGGATCATACTATATTAAATCAGTTTGCTTGCACATAGTAAATCACATGTACAGATATATTTGTGAGGGTTTTGAATAACTATTTGAGA